CAAATTTAGAATTGCTAATGACACTTAGTTACTTGGACAGTATTCTACCTGATGTAACCATCATTTCCCTTATAATCCAAATATATATTATAAAGTACACGTGTTTAACTCTCTACCTCAAAGATAGAGTTAACTTCATCTGAGCTTCAAGTAACCTAAATCAAGGATAAACCCTGTGTGTAGCTGAATTTTCCCTACTGGTATTGAGTCAGTCTCCTCCGACAGAGAAAAACTAACAAGCAGTGTCAACATACAAAATGCATAATGTTTGTCGATTGTGACATCACATTTCCCTGAAACACACTAGACATCCGAATTAATAGGGAAAGCAACATTCATAAACTTTCCTTTATATATCTGTTTTGTGTCCCCTCCTATTCTAGTCTCACTGACAGCGTTATATGTAATGTTCTGTAGGAATCGACGCAAATTATGAAATGTTTAATTGTCCCGACATAGCAAGGATTCTTCTGTGTTATTCACGAAATATGTTAACTTACTAAAATCAGAACATTAGTCAGTTTGATCATCACTGACACCCGCTTCCAAGGATAGTTCACATGGACACCACTGTCCTGTATAAAGGTATAGGTTCCACGGTACGTCACCATTCTTTCCAATTTCCTGTGGTGTAATGTTTCTGAAAAAAATATTACACACTGTAGATGCCTCGAATTTATTTCACAACTCCTCTATGATTCTAAAATCAAATTTGGTCAGTCTTCCTGATAAGAAAAAAAAACACCAGAAAGATACTTCAATAAAAAATACTTGATAAAAATTTATTGATTAAAATATATTGATTAAAAATATATTGATTAAATTATATTGATTAAATTATATAGATTAAAAAATACCAGAAAGTATCAACACGTGACCATAATCATAATCCAATCTCGACAAAACAAGGACAAAATATGAACAAAAGAAAGATTTACACGGAAACTCATGAAAAAAAAATTACATGGAAAATAAGACCAAGTGACATGGAGTCTGTTAGCGTCTTTTAAATGATTTCAACTAGTCATAGTCAATTCGTACAAAAACAACGTCAGTTCGTATACTGACAAGCAAATCATCCCTACCAGTGAAGACCGATGATTTGATAAATTAAAATCTGGTTTTACAGCAACGAAACAACCTGTCATTGGTAATACTGGTTAATATGCTGTCCCTACCAATTGTTGGATCTGTAAAAACGCTGAAGCAACATGCCTTATGTTTGAAATTAAAAAAAAATATGTTTGTTCATTCCTGACAGCTTCTTATCAGTTATGAGTTACAATGTACGAGTACCTGTTATTCAAATAAGTTCCTTATCAATGCACTGTTTGTTAGTTTAAAGGAGAAAGACAACCGTAACAATATATCTAAACCCTATTTTGTTAAGAAGGACAGAGAATACTTCCGACGTAATTAATCGAGAGTTGTGCGAACATTCCACCCGGACGTTAGAAGTGGATTTTTATTAGGATGAAGTTCTTAAAGTTCATTTTTTCTGACGGGAAGTAGTAGTACGGGACAGGAAGTAGTTAACGCTATTTTCCAAACATCTAGAGACCAACATGTGTTGTTATACATGTACATGTACATTTACGTGTACCTGACAAAGAGTACACATGATCGAGAATAAGTTTTATAAAACGGAAGAAGATCCGAAACCCATTTCTCCGACCAGGGAGAGAACTATAAAGACTATTGTGTTGTTCAAATTAAAGACAATAAGCGCATAAAAATATGTGACACTTGTAAATAACTTTGACGCGTATTCGATGGATAGTATGATCGTGGACACTATAATACATTTAGTTTGACTGGTTTTGTAAGACGTGACATTTCCAAGATATTTTTGTTTCTTACCTGAATGTGAAAAGGTTAAATGTTTTTATGAGAACTGTTAAATTCAAAATGTTTTGTCTTGTATTATAGCAATATTGACGAATTCATATTAATTATCAATTACGTATGCGTTGTACATGTATGAACTAGGAGTGTTTTTATTCTTATGTTATGATTTGTTTAGTTGATATTTCAGAAATTGTGTAATGTTACCAATTATAAGATTTGTAGAGGGGAGACGTAGTACGTTGAAAGTGAATCTTAATCTAGGAAGTAATTAACATGTTACTTAATTGATACATTTTAAAAACATATATGTTGATAATGTATCCAAATGAAATTATAAAACTTAGTATTGGAATTAACCTTTTTAAAAAATTGGTAAAATAGTTGATTTTACTCAAAGAACTTTGATTTCACAATCAAATTTCTTATTGAAAAGGGGAGGAATGTAACAAAATAGAGTTTAGATATATTGTTACAAAATGTGGTTTCGATATTAGTGTGTATCAGATACATAAGTCAATAATCGTTGACTGCTTGGTTGTAGGATTAATTTTATCAATATATAACATCTGGTAGACTGGGTGTAATTATGAATGCACACAGATATTCCGTAACTGTTTTCACAGTGGACAGCACTGACATCCACTGGTCATATTAGTCTATTTTATTGACAAATACAGCTATATTTCAGACGGCGGTCTGCCTTTGAAAATGCCCTCCGTGTCAAAGCTTAAACCCTTACACATGCTATTCTCCCGTTTAACAGGTATTAGGCAGTTAAATGGCAGTCTAATAAACTTAAGTCCACCTTTTTAAGAAACTCAACCAATGGGGCATTAGATTTTAGCATTTCCATGACGAGATCTTATAGAATAGGGATAAAAGGAGGGGCGTTTTTGGGGTGGGGGACAGAGCTCTACGGACAGACAGGTTAGGGGTGGACGAGAGAGCGCACTAGACCTATGGACAGACGGGGAGATAGCTCACTAGCACTATGGACAGACGGGGGGGGGGGGGGGGGGGGGGGGGGGGGGGGGAAAAAGCTCACTAGCCCTATGGACAGACGGGGAGATAGCTCACTAGCACTATGGACAGACGGGGGGGGGAGGGGGGCCTCACTAGCCCTATGGACAGACAAGTTACACCATGATAAAAAGTATGAGGAGTGGGTATTCTAGTGTATACCTTAAAAGTACTGTTTTTATACAGGAACAGTTCTGGTACGAGACACAACATGAAGTACTAGTATGAGTAGGCTACATGAACTCTGTATGTTCTTTTTGTACATGTAACATTATTATTATTCAACATGTAATAGACATGACTATTACCAACAAGTACGTGTGTTAACGCCTACTGTGTTACACAATTCGCGGCATGGGATGTGATGGACTATAGAAAAACAGACAGATAACTGTGTGTAGAGAATAGTTATGTACTTATGCCGAAATGATCAGAGAAATCACACGTGTGATATCCAGTAAATTATTCAGTTATTTGAAGCATCCGTTGATGGCTCTTACCTATTCTTTCCTGTTTTGTTGTAACATCACCTTAAACTCGAAATTCTTTCATTTACATGTATAACATGTAAACATATATATATAGGAATTAATCTTGGGCTATTGCGTGATTCATTAATTTTGTATGTGCTTATTTGTTACGGAAAAGGCGTGGGTATGTTGTAATAACTTTTGTCCAAACATTTGTCTTTTGTTTGCAGTAAAAATGATTTTAATAAACTAATAATATATTCTACAAAAGACAAAAAATGATTCGTAACTTTTATTACATATCATGATAGAGGAGAGGTAATTAATTAAACTGGATTATACTGCTGTTTCGTCCTTCTAGGGCCCGTAAGTGATGCTACATCATACAGCTGTTTCGTCCTTGTAGAGCTCCTCAGTGATACTATAACACAATAGGGCTCGTCAGTGATACTATATCACACAGCTGTTTCGTCCTTGTAGAGCTCCTCAGTGATACTATATCACACAGCTGTTTCGTCCTTGTAGAGCTCCTCAGTGATGCTATATCACAATAGGGCTCGTCAGTGATACTATATCACACAGCTGTTTCGTCCTGCTATAAGTGATGCTACATCATAAAGCTGTTTCGTCCTTGTGGAGCTCGTCAGTGATGCTACATCATACATCTGTTTCGTCCTTCTAGGACTCGTCAGTGGTGCTACATCATACAGCTGTTTCGTCCTTGTGGAGCTCGTCAGTGATGCTACATCATACATCTGTTTCGTCCTTCTAGGACTCCTCAGTGGTGCTACATCATACAGCTGTTTCGTCCTTGTGGAGCTCGTCAGTGATGCTATATCACACAGCTGTTTCGTCCTGCTAGGACTCATTAGTGATGCTTATGATGTAAATTAGTAAAAATGGGGAGGGAGGGGGGCACTGATAACTATGAAATATCCAATGTTAAATAAATCTTAAGAAAAAACGACAAAATAAATTGTAAAATAAGTTAGTACGAGGCTGCTTTATTTGACTGTTGTATCATAACCATCCTTCTGTGAACTTTGACCTTTCCTGTCTGAAGTAGTAGTAAAATACAGGTATAAAAATGACAAAAATAGTTACAAAAACTGGTTGCGATAAATGAATAAATAATGATAACAATGATATTTAAAACAACACATTAAAATAGTGTCATAAAATACATATTTTGTGTACTATTTGTAAACAAATCGTTGTTTTCATAGTTTCATACTTTATCTATGTAATCATTCCTTTTTATATCTAGGTACATTGTTGGTTGACCTAATGGGCAATATTTGATGTTAAGGTTATTGGTGTCATGAAGTGTGTAAATAGTAAGACATCGTTACTGTGTCTGTATAGCATAGTCTCTCGGTGACATGTATATTTGTTTACACAAATTGATATTTATATTTGTAACATCACGTGATCAAATACTGCGTGTTTTAACGGTATTCATTCTGGTATATTTAAATTGTATCAGAACATATGCTGGCAGGTGCAGAGGACAACGGATAGGTAACTGTGACGTTCGTTAATCAACAGCCGCGATAACACGGAAGCACTCTCATATATATGTGTATGGAAATCATTATTTTTGTATTTACAGTGAAAAGAAAATCAGAACGGATCAATTTTTTATTTTGCAGTAATACGAAAATGAAACGCAGTATCCAGACTATTGGTTTACAGTTGGGTCTAGTTGGAGTCATAATAATAATGGTAAACTATCAAATCTTCTACCACAATCAAGGTAAGAATTCACGTCACCAGCCACACGTTATCGCACAGAATGTAATGTTTTGTTATGATTGATTGGTGTGCATTAAGAATTGTACCACAGCAGGCGTTTGATAAAATTAGCTCAATGGAAGCAGACTATTTAAAGAATGCATGATCCACAGTTTCGAGAGTTTATTTAACAAATGATAGATTCACTATTTTCAGTAAATTTTAAAGATAAAAAATATTATGTATTGCGTAAATCTCACACGAGAATTGCTTTTTATCGCAGGATCTATTTGTGTTTAAGTTTTAATCAACTTTGTACAACAAAGTGTGAAAACCATGTTTTAAAAAGGCGAGATTTAGCTGTTGATCAAATAACATTATGCATGTAGATATATATACAAATGTTGATGCAAAAAGTGAATATGTCATTAATTATTTATCGGGGTGGTTGAATGGCGTACTGGCGTCCGGTGTTCGATTTCCGTTACGGAATCACTTGTGTTTTCCACGGATACTCCGGTTATCCCCCACAGTAAGACCTATCGAGCGCTTCCCCATCTGGGTTAAAAAAGAATGATTGATAAAGTCTGATAGCTTGTTTCGCAATTGTTGTAAAACGAATAAGTTGTATTCTTGTTTAATACTGAAACAAGCATTAACACGCCAAAGCGCAGCGACTTTAACATACAAGGAAATTTACCACGCTTATATTGATCTCTGCGTGGTGTATATTTCTTGTGGACACCTTAGCACCCTGGAAACATGCTGGCGGGTTTCCATTGGAAACAATTATTGTTACAGACAGGTAACAAATACCTTTGTAAATTAGTAAATGTTGATAACATGTTTCCATAGAGAAAAAAAAATCTATATATCATTTTTGTATTTAAATTAGAAGACGCTGCAGAGTCTTGTACAAATAGCTACGTGCCTAGATTTTCATTCAACTTGAATTAAACACAAATGATAAAGCATTGGAATAAAAGTGGCCTTTTTCTTTGTTTCCTTTCTTCTCTAACTCTTGATCTATTTATGTGTATCGAAGTTTGAATTTCAAATCTGCCTTCCGGTTGCTTGTTATACATATTTACACTTTTTAAAACTCCAAGGTTGAGTGATTAAATGAGTATTGATTTTTCTCTGATAGTCTTTTAAGATAAGTGGTGCTAATAATGATTTTCCAAGATAAGAAAAAATATAGATATGAGTACTAGAAGACTATATCTTAACATGTAACTTTCAGTTATATATCTTAACATGTAAATTTCAGAAATATAGCCTGCCACATGTTATCGACTAATTCTGACAATAGCACTTACCCTGAGTTGGTTGATAAAGCGTCAATATTTTAAGGACTGGTATATTTGTCCAGGAATGTGATTGATCTTTAACGAGCTGAAACTCATTCCAGATATAATAAACGTATTTTTTTTCATCACCGATTGGAACGTTTTTATCAAAGTTTAAATGTTTTTAAAAAAGCCTAAGTCAACTGTGAAGCGATAGTTTTTTTTCTTAGTAATCAGAATTTCAAGGGTAGTCTTAGTCAACGTTAGTAGTCAATGGATAGTGGTAATAGTCAAGGGTAGTAGTCAAAGGTAGTAGTCAACGGTAGTTGTCAAGGATAATAGTCTAGGGTAGTAGTCATGAGTGGTAGTCAAGGGTAGTAGTCAAGGATAATAGTCTAGGGTAGTAGTCATGGGTAGTAGTCAAAGGTAGTAGTCAAGGGTAGTAGTCAAGGATAATAGTCATGGGTTGGGTAACAGTCAAGGGTAATAGTCAAGGGTAATAGTCAAGGGTAGTAGTCAAGGGTAATAGTCAAGGGTAGTAGTCAAGGGTAGTAGTCATGGGTAGTAGTCAAGGGTAGTAGTCATGGGTAGTAGTCAAGGGTAGTAGTCAAGGGTAGTAGTCAAGGGTAATAGTCAAGGGTAGTAGTCAAGGGTAGTAGTCAAGGGTAGTAGTCAAGGGTAGTAGTCAAGGTAGTAGTCAAGGGTAATAGTCAAGGGTAGTAGTCAAGGGTAGTAGTCAAGGGTAGTAGTCAAGGGTAATAGTCAAGGGTAGTAGTCATGGGTAGTAGTCAAAGGTAGTAGTCAAGGGTAGTAGTCAAGGGTAGTAGTCAAGGGTAGTAGTCAAGGTAGTAGTCAAGGGTAATAGTCAAGGGTAGTAGTCAAGGGTAGTAGGGTAGTAGTCAAGGGTAGTAGTAATGGGTAATAGTCAAGGGTAGTAGTCATAGTAGTAGTCAAGGGTAGTAGTCAAGGGTAGTAGTCAAGGGTAGTAGTCAAGGGTAGTAGTCAGTCAGTAGTCAAGGGTAATAGTCAAGGGTAGTAGTCAAGGGTAGTAGGGTAGTAGTCAAGGGTAGTAGTCAAGGGTAGTAGTCAAGGGTAGTAGTCAAGGGTAGTAGTCAAGGGTAGTAGTCAAGGGTAGTAGTCAAGGGTAGTAGTCAAGGGTAGTAGTCAAGGGTAGTAGTCAAGGGTAGTAGTCATGGGTAGTAGTAGTCAAGGGTAGTAGTCAAGGGTAGTAGTCAAGGGTAGTAGTCATGGGTAGTAGTCTAGGGTAGTAGTCATGGGTAGTAGTCAAGGGTAGTAGTCAAGGATAATAGTCTAGGGTAGTAGTCATGGGTAGTAGTCAAGGGTAGTAGTCAAGGGTAGTAGTCAAGGATAGTAGTCAAGGGTAGTAGTCAAGGGTAGTAGTCAAGGGGAGTACTCAAGGGTAGAAGTCAAGGGTAATAGTCAAGGGTAGTAGTCAAGGGTAATAGTCAAGGGTAGTAGTCATGGGTAATAGTCATGGGTAGTAGTCATGGGTAGTAGTCAAGGGTAGTAGTCAAGGGTAGTAGTCAAGGGTAATAGTCAAGGGTAATAGTCAAGGGTAGTAGTCAAGGGTAGTAGTCAAGGGTAGTAGTCAAGGGTAGTAGTCAAGGGTAGTCAAGGGTAGTAGTCAAGGGTAGTAGTCAAGGGTAATAGTCAAGGGTAGTAGTCAAGGGTATTAGTCAAGGGTAATAGTCAAGGGTTGTTGTCAAGGGTAATAGTCAAGGGTAATAGTCAAGGGTAGTAGTCAAGGGTAATAGTCAAGGGTAGTAGTCAAGGGTAGTTCAAGTAGTAGTCAAGGGTAGTAGTCAAGGGTAGTAGTCAAGGGTAGTAGTCAAGGTAGTAGTCAAGGGTAATAGTCAAGGGTAGTAGTCAAGGTAGTAGTCAAGGGTAATAGTCAAGGGTAGTAGTCAAGGGTAATAGTCAAGGGTTGTTGTCAAGGGTAATAGTCAAGGGTAGTAGTCATGGGTAAATGTCATGGGTAGTAGTCATGGATAGTAGTCAAGGGTAGTAGTCAAGGGTAGTAATCAAGGGTAATAGTCAAAGGTAATAGTCAAGGATAGTAGTCAAGGGTAGTAGTCAAGGGTAGTAGTCAAGGGTAATAGTCTAGGGTAGTAGTCATGGGTAGTAGTCAAGGGTAGTAGTCAAGGGTAGTAGTCAAGGGTAGTAGTCAAGGTAGTAGTCAAGGGTAATAGTCAAGGGTAGTAGTCAAGGGTAGTAGTCAAGGGTAGTAGTCAAGGTAGTAGTCAAGGGTAATAGTCAAGGGTAGTAGTCAAGGGTAATAGTCTAGGGTAGTAGTCATGGGTAGTAGTCTAGGATAGTAGTCAAGGGTGATAGTCTAGGGTAGTAGTCATGGGTAGTAGTCTAGGGTAGTAGTCAAGGGTAGTAGTCATGGGTAGTAGTCAAAGGTAGTAGTCAAGGGTAGTAGTCAAGGGTATTAGTCAAGGGTAATAGCCAAGGGTAGTAGTCATGGGTTGTTGTCAAGGGTAACAGTCAAGGGTAATAGTCAAGGGTAGTAGTCAAGGGTAGTCAAGGGTTGTTGTCTAATAGTCTAGGGTAGTAGTCAAGGGTAGTAGTCATGGGTAGTAGTCAAGGGTAGTAGTCAAGGATAATAGTCTAGGGTAGTAGTCATGGGTAGTAGTCAAAGGTAGTAGTCAAGGGTAGTAGTCAAGGGTAGTAGTCAAGGGTAGTAGTCAAGGGTAATAGTCTAGGGTAGTAGTCATGGGTAGTAGTCAAGGGTAGTAGTCAAGGGTATTAGTCAAGGGTAGGGGTAGTAGTCAAGGGTAGTAGTCAAGGTAGTCAAGGGTAATAGTCAAGGGTAGTAGTCAAGGGTAGTAGTCAAGGGTAGTAGTCAAGGGTAGTAGTCAAGGGTAGTAGTCAAGGGTAATAGTCAAGGGTAGTAGTCAAGGGTAGTAGTCAAGGGTAGTAGTCAAGGGTAGTAGTCAAGGGTAATAGTCAAGGGTAATAGTCAAGGGTAGTAGTCAAGGGTAGTAGTCAAGGGTGGATAGTAGTCAAGGGTAATAGTCATGGGTAGTAGTCAAGGGTAGTAGTCAAGGGTAGTAGTCAAGGGTAGTAGTCAAGGGTAATAGTCAAGGGTAATAGTCAAGGGTAGTAGGCAAGGGTAGTAGGTAATGGTAATAGTCAAGGGTAGTAGTCAAGTGTAGTAATCAAGGGTAATATTCAAGGGTTGTTGTCAAGGGTAGTAGTCAAGGGTAATAGTCAAGGGTAGTAGTCAAGGGTAGTAGTCAAGGGTAATAGCCAAGGGTAGTAGTCAAGGGTAATAGGGGGTAGTAGTCAAGGGTAGTAGTCATGGGTAATAGTCAAGGGTAGTAGTCAAGGGTAGAAGTCAAGTAGTAGTCAAGGGTAGTAATCAAGGGTAGTAGTCAAGGGTAGTAGTCAAGGGTAGTAGTCAAGGTAGTAGTCAAGGGTAATAGTCAAGGGTAGTAGTCAAGGGTAGTAGTCATGGGTAGTAGTCATGGGTAGTAGTCATGGGTAGGTCAAGGATAGTAGTCAAGGGTAGTAGTCATGGGTAGTAGTCAAGGGTAGTAGTCAAGGGTAGTAGTCTAGGATAGTAATAGTCAAGGATAGTAGTCAAGGGTAGTAGTCAAGGGTAGTAGTCATGGGTAATAGTCAAGGGTAGTAGTCAAGGGTAGTAGTCAAGGGTAGTAGTCAAGGGTAGTAATCAAGGGTAGTAGTCATGGGTAGTAGTCAAAGGTAA